CAGGAACCGAAAACTATGGAGGGTATTAAGATGAATCACTCAGATTGTAACATCTCCAAAGAGGTAGACCAATAGACAAAAAAGGGGCTTTTGGTATGAAAAGGCTGCATTTAAACTGACTCAGGGCCTTCTTTTTGATCCAGCAAACAGACAGGACCTTCTGTTTGACAGGGGCCCAAACCTTGTGGAAGGGTGGGAAAGACTTTGACTGACTAGGGTCCCATAAGACTGACAGGTGAGCTTTGGTAAGCTTTTAGCCTGTGTATAGGAAATTGTATTGTTTTTTATATGTAGCACAAACTGGTACCTGAACTTGATTCACTTCCATTTTACCATTCTGGACTGTTTTTGAAAGTTGAAGTAGTGTCTTGCCTAGCATCTCCATTACGAAGAGTTTAGTCCTAGATCCTCTAGGTATTTAGGCACCTAACTTCCATTGATTACCGTTGAGGATTTGGATCTTAGTTCTTGGGGAAAGACAAAATACATATATTTTCTATGAAAGAAGGAGCTCTTGTTATACTGGGCAGGTCTACACTTAAAACTCTGCAGCTATTATACCAACGGGACAGCTTCTCCCATCCGTGTAGTTGATTCACCTCTGCAATAGGTGGTAGCTATGTCGATGGGAGAAGCCCTCCCATCAACATAGTGCTGTCTACATCAGGGGTGAGGTCGGCATCACTGCGTCGCTCAGGGGTGTGGATTTTTCACACTCCTGAGCGACGTAGTTATACCAATGTAAGTTTGTAGTGAAGACCTGGCCTTGCTTACATACAACTTTTTTAAGACAAAGGGGGACACTGAAAGATAACTTTAGGCTGGGATAGAGCTTTTATTCTGATATGCCATAGGTAATATTTCTGTATTTTGTAACATAAGCTTGGTGCTGGCTTGGCCTAGTTTTTCATAGTATCCTAACAAGACAGGAGCCTATCTTTTTATTCATGGTTTTCTCAATTTCTTTTATATGCCAAAAAAAATCCCTGCTTTTAAGACAGGGATTGGACTGTGGATACTAATAGGTGAGGAAGTTCAATGATGGGCGTCTGGGAGAGAAACTGAACTCTGACCTCAGAGAAGGTAGAATCTGGAGCAGGTCTGTGTGGGCACAAGGAGAGCAAAATGACCTGAAGATACTAGACATAGTTACAGAGATGGCTACAGTGGGGGAAATGGAGCTAAGACTCAGATCCTCAAATGTATTTAGGTGCCTAATTTCCATTGAAAGCAATGGAAATTAGGCTCTTAAATACCTTTGAGGATCTGGGCCTAAATAATGCCCGGAGCACTGAAGTGCTGTAGCACTGTTGTATTGTTTGTTACAAACTTTTGATGGTTCCTTGTGCCTGGCACTATGCCCCCAATCACAGCTTTAAAGTTGGTATGGGGTCATGGGAATCCCATTGGAAATCACCATTGCAGGAATCTCTCATTTGTTTCTCGGCCTGTAAAGTTAAGTGCATACATTATGCACATAAGTGCTTGGATCAGGGCATTGGGGGCGATAGGGTGATGAACCTAGGATGGGTGACATTTGAGTTCCCATCATGAGCATGTGGTTCAACCCAAGTAGCATTCCAGTGGAGGCTGATTTGAATCTCTGGAAATGGCTTGGGGAAATTCATAGCTAAAAGGGCTGCTCTGACCTGATTTAGGGTAAAGAGAATGAATTCATCAAATGCATTCAGTGTAAAATCAGGGTGTCCTCCCTGGGCAGCCTCCCCTGGAAATGAAAGGGGGCCCAGCCCTGGGGTGAAGTGAGCGAAGTAGGATATTTGGAAGATTTAGAGCCTCAGAGGCATAACACAACTCACAGTGCGGTCAATCTGGAGCAGAGGGCCTCGGTGCTAGAGAGCGTTAACTGAGCACAGGTGTTGTAGGAGGCGTTTCCAGACACGTTTCGCTTTGTCCTCTGTTCTCCGTCTTCAGCAACAGCTGGAGGAGGCAGTGGGCGGAAGGGGGATGGATGCTGGGTCTCTGCGGCTCTAGAGCCCCAGCATCAGCCCGGGTGGTGGGAGCATGTGCAGCTGTAGCAGGCACCTGGCAGGGAGCCGCACGCTGGGGATGTGAAGCAGGCGGGGAGGAAGGCCTTTCCTTGACTCATCAGATAAATCCAGCCCCCCAAGGCGCCTGGTGAGCCGGAGACTGAGCAGCGGCAGCAGCATGGCAGGGGACAGTGAGCAGAGCCTGCAGGAGCACGAGCAGCCTGGCGGTGGGGAGCCCTTCCTGATCGGGGTCAGCGGCGGCACAGCCAGCGGCAAGGTGAGCGGGGGAGCGCGGAGCCGGGGGTGGTTGGTCCCCGCGTGGGTGCATGGGGAGCCCAGTGCAGCGGACACATGGCCGCGGTTTGTGGTGGCGGCGGCTGCTATAGCGGGCGGGCGGCTGGGTGCCAGCCGAGACCCTGCTGGAGAGCCCCCGGCCCCCTCCGGGCTGTAAGAACACGTGTGCGCGGTGAAGGGGGGGCGTGTTGTTGCCGCGATGGGGTGCGGCTCCTAGCGAGGCGTTGGGTGGGAGGGAGGCCGCCCGTGTCCCCCTCCTGCACTGCACTGCTCCGGCGGGCTGCGGGGAGGCAGGGCGGCTGCGTAACACATTGTCTGGTCGCAGCCCGCCCGCCCTGGGGAGCGAGCTCGGCTCTGCTGTGTGGGTGCCTCCGCTTTCCGCAAAGCGGCTGCTTCCTGCCGTGTGTTCTCTCTCTGCCAGACACAAAGGCCTGATCCCCGGGCAGGTGGCACTCAGCGGCTTTGGCGGCCGCCCTCCTGATTGACACCCCTGCTACTCAGCTCCGGCCCCAGGGGGAGCAGGTGTCCGTGTGGCAGTTGTGCCGGGGTGGGGGATTGACACAGATGGGTCCTGCTGGCTTTTGTGATCCTGTAAACATCTCTCTATACGGTTACCCCGTTTCTAACTCCTTCAGCCTCCTTGCTCCTTTCTCTCCCCCCCCCCCTTCTGCCTTGGTGGTGACGCTGCTCCGTGCCGGGGTGACTCAGTGCTGCACGGATGGCTCGGCTGAATGGGGGTGGTCAGATAAGTGTCTTGTTCCCCAGTCCCTCCTGGGGCTGCCCAGCTTCCCCTCCTCTGACTCTGATCGAAGCTATGTGGCGGAATCGCTGGGGTTCCGTCAGCCTGCCTGGAAGCAGGCGAATAGGAGCTGTTGTGAGAGAGCTTGGAAGTGGCAGTTGTGCCATTGTGTTAACTGCTTCTACTGGAGATGCACCTGCACTCCTAGACTGGGGAGAAAGAAAATATAAACTAGAGGCACAGACAGCTCTCTTATCAGAGGGTAGAGTTGAAAAAATAGTAGCTGTTGAATATAACTTGAGTAGTATTTTTACCATGACTAAACTTGTCCACTTTTAATAAAGTGAGATAAGAGCAACTATTCTGACCTGTTTTCTTTATTCATTATTAATGAAGTTCCCCAGTTGTCTATGCCCAGGCGTACAAGCACTCCTAGAAAAGCTGGTCCTAGGATTTTATACTCGTCTCTTAGAGAAAGGAGCTTCGATCCTCACTTTCTTCTCCACACTAATATTAAACTTGTCAGTGTAATCAGTAAGAGCATAACCGCTTTAAAGCAACACCAGTTTCATTCTGTCAACAGACCCCCGCGCTGACTTGACTCGTGCTCTGGCCCTGTTTAGCTCAGTGCAGGACTGGAGCTGTAATTATTGCACACTAATTTTTATGTGTGTGGCTCTGTCTGTACTACGCCATCCCCAGAGTCCTCTGGTAACTTTAGTGGTTTTACAATTGTGCTTTCCTTTAATGTATTTAATGTGTATGAAAGACTCAGACAAATAGGGGAAACAGTGAAACTGGCTATACACAGACTATAACATGGATGGAGGAGGGAAAGGACAAATATTTGCCCCTCTCTAATCCCTTACTGTTCCAGTAATCTGAAGAATGCTTAGAATGATAGCGAGTAACAGATTATTTTTCAGAAAGATGTGTGTCTGATGGGAGGGCATGGGGGTATTTTGTTGACCCAGATTGGTAGCAGGTGTTGGAATCCTACTGGGAGATGCTGACTCATAATGGCAGATGTGACTCTCTAACTCCACCCTGGGTGTAAGGCAGTGTAGGAGAGCTCGTCTGGACACAGAACTGGGGCTGGGGGAAAACTCTAGGAACTGCCAAGCTGTAGGGAGTTAGCTTGGGCTGAGGTTTATGGTGAGTTTATTTGAATTACCAGTAGAGGCAAACCCCCGCAAAGGGTTGCTCTATGTACATTTTGTCTTTCTGTTCAGAGGGAGGATGGAATTTCCTCCAGCATATGGTGCCCATTTAAAAAGTGTTCCGGGTGAACACGCTCATGTTCATAAGTGGGAATGCACCTGAGATCTTCTTCGTTACGGGGAGCACTAAATGCCTGGCTGCTGCTGGAGGAGCATAGGGCTATGTGCACTCAGCTTTTTCTAAAGATAACTTAAAAAAAAAAAACCAACCCAGACCTTCACTGCAGTGATGGGAGGGGGTCTTTATCTGTTCTCTTGCTTGTTGAAAACACACATGTGCCTGCTCCCCAATGAAAAAATCCCCATAGAAGGTGGAGAGTGTGTGTGGAAATCTCTATCTGGGAACCAACGCTGAATTGTTCTTACATTACGTTTTCCGGATGCCTCAAGTATTCTGGGCTCATGTGAGGCCTTTTGTGCGTGGGCCTAACTCTGTATACCTGTCTCAGTAACATTGTGTCTGTCGCTGCTGAAATGCTGTCTCAGAGCAGTCTATTGAACCCACACGGTAAGGCCAGGGATTACAGTCCAATAGGGCACATTTGTTCTCCGCTTCAAAGTGAAACATGCTTAGCAGCAGTAGTAGGCTCTCCTATAAAACAGGGAAGAGGTTCTTTATTGTCAGGGTGGTGTACTGATGGCTTTTCCTTTCTCCACTTTGATTTCCCCTCTGCAATGATTGCTTGCTGCCAAAACACACACAGTGTGTAATGCTGCCCTTTAAAAGGAACTCAACAGATCAGTGCAAACTTCATAGCCAGCTCTCTTGTAGTCCATTCTTAACTTGCTATGCTCAAGCAGAAGCAGCAGGAAGAGATTATTGGTGTTTGTGCTTCTAGTATCCAAAACTGGTGTATTATAGTTTAATGTGGCTCGTGATGCAGCTAAGCGAGAACGTATTTGGTGGCAGAGGTAAGGCAAGGTGTGTATGCAGCTGTGACAACACGGATCTGCCCAGCTGGTTCCTGGTAAGGCCTCCAATTTTTGGTGATAATCTTGATTGCTATAATAGAAGGGAAATGGGTCCTTGGAAGAACAAAGAATGCTGTACATCTATGGTGATATGCACCACACTGAGCCCAGGCAAGGGGTTCCCTGCAGCAGGGCAAGTAAACTTTCCTGAATGTCCTGTGGCTAGCAGTATGGCTGACTATCAGTTCTTAAGGTCCACATGTGCCGGCCCTGGTTAGAAGCAGAGAGGATTGGGGTAGGGGAGAGACATATATTTTCCTATTCCAAAGCTGCAAATCCATCTAACTCTCAGCAAAACTGTGGACTGTTGCAACATACTCAGTTGACAACACACCAGAGTGAAGATAAGCGGGGATGCTTTCCTCGCGAAGGCGCGCATGCAAAAAAGCCTGCCCTGCTGCAGTTGTTGAGTTAGAGATGGGTAAAACTTTTGCTGGTGGCCACACTGACGCTTTTTTTCCTAAAATACTTAATTAACTTTAGGAGAAACAAATAAATATCAACGTATACACATCCAGATAATTGTAATTTATTTAGGTAGGGTTTTTTTGCAGACTCGATAATAAAAATAATACTGTGAAAAGTGATATTTGTATGTTTGTTAATATCACTTTTTATAGTAAGTCCTGGCAAGCTAAGACCTGGGGTGGGGGGTGAGGCAGCCGAGGCCAGGGAGGATGGATGGAGGGGTGAGGCAGGAGAGGCTAGGGGCGATGGATGGGGGGCCCTGCCACTGCATGGTCAGAGGTGTGGGTTGGTGCCTGGGGCTGGGGATCAGCACCCTGGGCCAGCACTTACTGGAACCCAGAGTTCGTGCCCACAGTTGTGTGGCTAGGGCCAGGGATTGGCGGCCAATGCCACGCAGCTGGGTGTTGGCACCCAGAGGCAGCACCTGCTGCTGTGTGACCGGGGCTGGGGGTCGGCACCCAGGGTTGGCCTCTGGGGTCTGTGCCAGCTGCTGCTGCACAGCCAGGGCTAGGAGGCTGTCTTGGGCCAGCACCCGCCAAAGCCTGCTGCTGCACGACCAGGACAGGAGGTCGGTGTCTAAGGCCAGCACCTGGGGTTGGTGCCTGCTGCTGGGGATCGGCACTTAGGGCTGGTGTCTGGGGATGGGTGCCCAGGGCCAGCACCTGCCAGAACCCAGGGTCGACAGCCAGGGTTGGGGGTCAGAGTGCACGGCTGGGGATTGCCTGATGCTGAGTTTGGGGCTGGCGCTTGAGGTCTGTGTCTGCTGCCCCAGGGCCAGGGGTCGGCATCCAGAGACAGCACCCACCAGAGCCCAGGTCCAGTGCTGGGCATCTGCACCCAAGGCTGGCAGCCTCTGGAGCTCAAGGTCAGCCCCTGGAGCCGCACCCAGAGTCAGTGACTAGGGCTGGGGGTCAGATTGCACAGATGGGGGTCAGTGCCTGGGGCCAGCGGCTGCTGGTGGGATTAGGGGTCAGCACCACATGGCCAGAGCCAGGGATTGGAGCCCGCTGCTGTGCGGCCAGGGCTTGGAGTTTGAAGCCCCAGGGCTGGAGCCCTAGTTTGCAGCCAGACTCCACAAGTCTCTGCCACCCAACCACCCCAGGGCTCAAGTCTGAGCCCAATTAAGCTTAATCTGCAGCAAGGGAGGTTTAGGTTAGATATTAGAAAGTTTTTCCTAACTATATGGGTAGTTAAGCTCTGGAACAGGCTTCCAAGGGAGGCTGTGTAATCCCCAGCATGGGAGGTTTCTAAGAACAGGTTAGACAAACACCCTGTTAGAGAGGCTCTAGGCAGACTAGGTCCTGCTTCAGCATAGAGGGCTGGACTTGATGACCTCTTGAGTCCCTTCCGGCTGGCTCAATGTCTTGTGGGGCATGATCACAGAAGTGTTGGGTTGGAAGATTTTTAGGCAGGGTTACTGGTGGCCTGGGGGGGGGGGGAGTGTTGGGAATGGACCGTACATTTAACTGACTTATCCCTCGCCCCTCCAGCTGCAGAACTGGAGTCCAGCTGCCTGTGCTGAGGTCTGTACATAGATGCCACTGTTTAGAAAAGACTTTGCCAAGGAACAGCTGTCAAAATAAACTCTGGTTCTGGGGGCAGCTTGGTCCTAGGGCACTGAAGGGTTGTATGCCCCTTCTGATGAGTTTTAGGGTTTGGGCAAGATGTTACAAATATTCACTACATGCTGCAACTCCTATATTTCTGTGTGGTAGGTCAGGACTATCCCCATTGTACAGATCGGGGAAACTGAGGTGTAATTTAAGACTGCTCAAATATGGGTGAGTAAAATTGGGGCCCTCAACTGTGGCTTTGTTTTGCTCAGAGGTACTGAGTAGCCACAGCTTCCTGGCACATGAATCCAAATGTGGATTTTGAACGTGGTCAGCTAGCAGTGTGTGCCTTGCTGCAGTAGTTGGAGCTGGAGGGTAGCATCTGTGTCTGTCTTTCCTGGCTAGAGAGCAGGAAATCCTCATGGATGCCTCCCCCATTGTTTCTGACAGCCCTTAAAATTCATTAAGAAAAATGAAGTAGGCTCCTGAGCCCACACTGTGCAGCCATCCCTTCTGGTGCCTGATAGAAGCAGGCTGCTGGAAGACAAATGCAGCTTATATGTGCTCTGATCTTCACCCTTCAAGGGTCAGTTGAAGAGAAATGGGGGTGGGCCCGGGCCCCACATTCCGCCCTCAATCTTCTAAACGATAATAAGGCGGAGGCGTGGCTAGCTCAATCACGGGCCACACTTCACAACTAGTGTTTAACTTCATGCTGCTGAATGCATGGGGTGCCTAGTGAGCTGATTGCAAAGGGGAAGAATAATTCCACTAGAGGGAGAGATGGAGAGCGTCTGACCAATATGTTCCCAGAACTCCTCTGCTTCCAGTGCCAGAGCATAGCTGTACAGATGGGCCCTCAAAGATGCCATTCCCTATATGCCTTACCATGCTCTGTTGGAGCAGCAGGCCTGGCAAGAGACAATTATTGCTTGAACTCAGAGAGGCCAGAAGTTACCGCTCAGTGTTCCTCTGTGTGACATCAATTCTCTCTCACTTCCTGGAGTGGGGAGATAAGGAGCTTTAGTTTAACTGAGCCTGGAACTTTCTTCCTTTGTCTGACTCCAACTATGGGAACCCTATCTCCCCTCCCGCATCAGCTGGGCAAATAGTCTGACTACAATGGAGCTACACTGCCTGACACCAGCTGCGGCTCTGCCCCTGTGTGAGACAGAGGGCTAATTCACAAATGGAAAGGCCATGGGAAAGTTGCAAGAAGAACCCGAAGGGGTTGCTGGCTGATGGCTCTGCCCATAGCACATTGCTGACTCCCGACAGAGTGATTCTCAGAGTTGGAATGTCAATATTGATGGGCAGCAATCTAACTAGGAGAGAGACAACAGGAAGAGGAGGTGGAGGGGTGATGATCTGTGTGGCAAGTGTTTATGAAAGCAGAGGGATAAAAGCTTGATAAGCTAGAGTGGGATGTTGAAACAGTGCTGGGGAAGGAGGCAAGGAATGGGAAAACAAAGGAGCGGTGATGGCAAGTAACTGGTGATGGTTGGAGTCAGGAAACACTCTCTGTCCCACAGTGTGGGATGCTTGCAGGGTCAGAGGCTCTAGTTGAATTCTGTTTTCAATGAGAGAGTCTGGATAAGTGACTATCCATTGATAAGATCTACAGGAATTAAATATCCTGCTTCTGGGTGTCAGCTGTCCATTGCAGAGGTCAGGAAGGGATGCCACATCCCACCCATAAAGCACCATTGGCCAACAGAATCATTAAGTGAAGTGGGAGTGGGTTGCATAGCTGCCTGTGTGCTCTCTCAACCCCCACCCCCAATTAAATTAGCTACTCTCTTACCAGATTTCTCCCCCGAGCCTGAATTTCTTTACTTTTTCATAATAAAAACACAAAACCTGAAGTTTCCCAAATGCTGCTGTTCTAGCTGAGCTCTGGGGAACTCCAGAAATTAGCTCTATCTATATACAGGGAGGCTGAGCTTCAGAAACTTAAGTGGTGACTCCTATCCTGGCTTCTTGTCAGGCCCCCTGCTGCAGAGGTGACTAGTGAATTAGAGCTGTGCAGGACAGAGGCTGGTGAGAACGGTAGCTCTGCCAGCCCCTGGACTCTGATGAGGTGAGGGCTGAGCTATCCACAGAACAGTTCAAACAGCCCACCTCTCTAGAGCTGAACCAGTTATAAGCTGTTTATCTGTTCACTCTGTACAGCTCCTGTGGCTAGAGAGTCCTCCAAGCACTGGCCCATAGTGCACTGCTCATAGCAGAAGGGGCCCATCTGGGCTTGGAGGGGGAAGGGACATGGGGCTGTCAAATCTGCTCATCTGTTCTCCAGGTGAAGGTCCCCCCTACCCACCCACCCCCAGAGACTTTCCTCCCATTGGCCTCTGATGATGCCCCTGGCTTCAACTCCACCTCCTGAGCCAACAATCCAACTGTGGAACATCTGACCTAATGGAGGGGATGGGAGGGTGTAGGCTGCAGCATGGCCACGGGCATTTTTAGGGGTGTATGTTAGTGCTGAGAAGCTCCACTAATACCCCTCTTTGCTGCTTTAAAGCACTTGGAGCTGGCGATCCAACTGGCATTTCCAGCTGGCACTCCAGGGTGGGATTTCTGGCTCACAGAGTGTATAGCTGGAAGCAGGGGCATTATTTGTGGCTTAGGGATGGAAATGGAAATGGGGGTGGGGGGAGGAAGGGAGGTCCGTCTGAGGAGGAGAGAAGGGAATGTCTGCTGGCAAACTAGGCGGCTAGCTGAGTCAGTAGTGGGAGGAGTGGAGCAATATAGCTCCTGATTGTTCCTCTGAGGCCCGCAAGCCAATGCAGTGTTTTGGTATATTGTGGATTAGGTACCCAGAATCCCTGGCCAACTAATTGCCTTAGGCAAGCACTAGTATGGTTATGTGGCTGCCTAAACAGGTGAAGTTTTGCAGGCATCTGCCCACTTTCTGTAACTAATCTAAGTTCAAACTGATCAGGACTCCAGTGAGGCAGCCTGCTAGTGACACAGCCAAGTGCTGCTGTATGGGACTGAGGCCACAACTTAAAGTTAGGGGCTCCCCCCCTTTTCCCAGAGGTGCTTTGCCGCTGCAGCTAACAGGGACTTCAGTGCATGTATGATGGGGTCCAATGCAGCTCTCCTCTCTGTCCTGTTAGTTCAGTTTTAAATCTTCAAACCTGTTTGGAGTAAAGCTGCTCCTCTCTACACCCATACTCTGCCACCTCCTTACTTTCTTCTATTCAGACACTCCCGTGCCACTTGCCTCCCTGATGAGTCAGTTGGGAAACAGTGATAGGGATGGACCTGGGGATGGCTTCCACCAGCCACATGTCTGCTCCCCCAGCTGCTGGGACCCTCCCCAGACTAGCTTAATCTCCAATCCAAACAACCTGAGCTTGGGCACCCGAAAGGGTGATTTTTATTTTTTCAGACATCTTCCCTATAGAGCAAGTTGGGATCCCCAGCAGCTCCTCCCTGAAACCCCTCCCCAGCTCCATGGCTCTTCGTTCTGGTCTGCTCCCTCTGTCGGTGTGAAGGTGTGAGATGTCACCAGAGCCATGGACTGAGCTGCTCATTCAACAGCTCCCTTAGCCTCTGTGCCAAGAGGCACCAGGATGTGCTTTCTGCTGCTCCTCCGAGCCCTGCTTGCTCTCAGAGAAAGGCTCTTGTGTTTTCTGGCTGGTGCAGAATCAGCTACTTTCTATTGGGCTTTATTTAGGGTGTTAAAACAAACTTCTGTAGAGATTTTTTTTTTTCCCCCCTCCAACTTCCCCAATGAGAGCCTGATTTCTCCCCTCGCTGGCGTAACAGAATTCAGCAGGACTTCCCTGTGTGAGTGAGGGGAGAATAGAGCTTGTTGGCTTTTGTCCCACAAACACTCCTCTTGGAGCCAGTTTGAGTGCAGCTCCTGAGCCTCTGCTGCTCCTTGTAGGCCTCCTCAGCTGCTCTTTAGTGAGGGCAGACCCTGAGTCACATTGGCTGTCACTGCTGCTAATGGGAACCCCGTGGGCAGCAGTGCAAGTGACCTGGATCAGGTTGGTTCATGCTGCTGCCTAGGGAAAGCTCAGAGAGGCCCCTGGAGCTACTCCTGGAATGAGAAACAAGACAGGCTGGAGGAAGAGTAGGATAGTGGAGACTCAGGGCAGCTAGGAGGTTTTGAGCTGGTTGGGAGTACAGGTCTGGGATGCAGAGAGAGAGAGTACCCCTTCTCCCCCCCAGCAGCTAGAAGGCGCAAGGGGGAATGAGAGGGCAGGTGGATTCACACCTATTAGCTAAATAAATGAGCAATAAACCACAAAACAATGGCCTTAGAAAAGGATCCAGGGGCAGCACTCAGATGGCTTTGGGATGTCTCAAGAGGACAGATGAGCTCTCTGCTCCTTGGCTGAGGAGCAAAGCATCAGATGAGGATGGGAATGTCTCCCGCCTGAGCTTGCAGCCTCCTGCTCCCTGCCACCCAAGGCAGGCTTCTCCTCAGTCTGCAAGTCTCCTGCTCAGAGTAGTCTCCATTTGCATCAGACTCTCTTCTTTCATTTTCCCCCTTGCTACATCGCCTGAAGTCATCAGTCTGCGCCAGAATCGTCCAGCTACTGGGCCAGAATGAAGTGGATTATCGCCAGAAGCAGGTGGTGATACTGAGTCAAGACAGCTTCTATCAGGTCCTTACCTCTGAGCAGAAGTCCAAGGCACTCAAGGGCCAGTTCAACTTTGACCACCCAGGTGAATGGAGCCTGATCCTTGGGAGGAGGTGTTGGGCTGTGTAGGGCTTCAGTGACACCTCTCCTAATCTGAGTCGTTCCTTTAATTCCACTGGCACAGAACCGCTTGGTAATGCCGTGGACCCAGCTTCTTGCTCCACTGCATTAATGTGGGGTGGACGGGTAGTGATGCAATGCACTGGCTTGCTTGGGACCTGCTGTCATATCCTGGTTAGGTTCCTAGTGAAGTGAACCTGGGTCTTGTCCTTATCCCAAGAGATGGCTGCACTATCATATAACATTATTTGCACTTCTACAGCCGGTTTCATCCTGAAGATCCTAAAGCGCTCTGCAGACTCTATGCAAACCGCACCACTGAAAAGCAGCAGCCTGTGGGTTGACGTGCTCAGCGCACTGCCCAGCCAGCGGGAACACTCTCTCTGCCCAAGGAGAGTAGGGTTAAAATTCCAGCCTTTAAGGAGATGTTTTAAGACTTACCCCAACTCCAAGAAGGTGCTAGTAGAGCTGACTCAGCCTTCTGCCCTTTCCAGGCAGATCACTGATTGGCATGTAATGATGGTGGGGCAGGGGAGTATCTCAAACTGGTGCTTGATTTCCCCTAAACCCTCCCCTCCTGGAAGGTACCCTGTTGAGCAGGATCTATCCAGAAAACAGGGCTAAATACAAAGGAAACCCAATTCCTGTTACTACAACAGAGATTCTTTCAACTGCTTAATGGGCTGGTTGGAAATTCCAGAACCGCCTCACCCAAAACCCAGTTGCCTTGGGCAGCGGGCTGCCTTGCTAACAGAGCCCTTTCTGTGAAGCTGTGGGAGGGAGCTGTTCAGGGATAAAAGGCCGCTCTAGTCTTTGAGGGGCTGGGGTTCGGGAGGAGATTCACTCTTTAGTCTTGGCTTTAAACAAAATCAGTACAAAGATTGTATTGATCTTCCAGGGCTGGATCCTCAGCTGGTGTAAAGCAGCATAGCCCTACTGATTTCAGTGGAGTTCTGCCTCTTTCCAACAGCTGGGATCTGGCCCAATAGCACTCAGGCCTTGAGGCAGCATGAATCTGCCTGCCTGCGCTCCTCCATGTCTAGCTTAGCTGGGACTCTGTCTAGGTTGAAATACCAGGATGTATGGGGGCAGAGGTTGGCAGGCAGCCTTCATAACAGCTTGTCTCTCCTCAGATGCCTTTGACAACGAGCTCATTGTCAAAACGCTCAAAGAGATCATGGAAGGGAAGACAGTCCAGATTCCTGTCTATGACTTTGTTTCCCATTCCAGGTAAGACCCTACTCCTGCCTTGCTCTGCACCTGCTACTCTGATTCGGGAGAATGGGATGCAGCTCTGCCCATCCTCATTTGCAGCACCCTCCCTCCCCTGACACCCCATGCAATGATCTCTTGAGCAGAAACTACCAATATGGGCTATTTCTGGAGACGGTATCTTTATTTTGCCAGCTCTTGTAGGCACTGTATATCGCCCAAATGCTTGAGCTGAATAGCCCAACCCAAAAACACCCTAGGTTACAAAATCAAGCACTCAAATAAAAAAAATGCCAGAATGTAAGTTATCCGCTCAACCTAAACTCTGTGTTATGGTACAATCACGTGCTATTTCCCACAGGACCTCTGCTTCATAAAGTGCTTGGGGAATGCAGCAGGGTTGCATGGCAAATGGGACTGTTGTCTGCAGGACACCTGCCTCTTCCGCTGGAGAAACTGGAAGGGATGTCTGTAAAGTTCCTGTGGGTGGGTCCCTGAGCATGATTAATTAGTTTGACTCTTGCATGCAGCAGCTGCCTGGGGGAGATAGATGTGCACATGGTGGTGGCAGCGATGGGGAAGGTCTAGCCTGCTCCCTCTTTTCACCATGTTTTAGGAAAGTGTGTCTATAGCTTTTGGATTCCCTGGTTAAGCTTTGCCATAGTGGGATGGGGTGGAGTGGGGAAAGCTGGGTCAAGAAGCCACCAGCCCCACCACTCCTCCCATCAGGGCAGCTCTTCCTCTTGCTCTGCCTCTTGTTCTGACATGCCTTTCTCGTGCATGGCAGGAAGGAGGAGACGGTGACTGTGTACCCAGCTGACGTGGTCCTCTTCGAGGGCATCCTGGCCTTCTACACCCAGGAGGTCCGGGATCTCTTCCGGATGAAGCTGTTTGTGGACACGGACGCAGACACCCGGCTGTCCCGCAGAGGTGAGGGCGCATAGCCAGGTAGAAAGATGCTACCTGGTGCATAACTGACTTGGGGAGCTTGCCTCTGTGAGACATTGAAGGCAAAGAGATTCTGAAGCAGGATTGGTCTGTTGGATCGATGGAAGAGCATCTTCTGTGACGCCTAGCTAGACAGAAATGGCAAGAGCACTTGGCCTTCATGGTCCAGGGTATTAGATCAACCCCCAGTCGGCATCAGGAAACACCTGCCCTGTATCCCAAGTGGTAGTGGGTTGTGTGGGTTTTATGCTTCCTGAAGCTGCTGGCTTTGGTGAGCATGAGTGACAGGATTCCAGACCAGATGTTCAGTTCTGTTGTGGCAGCTCCTCTGAGAGAGCTGTGCCTAGCTGCAGTGGCCCTACAGATTCCCTTCAGTGCAGATGGCTGGAATGCCAGTTCTCCACCAGTCATGGGGTGCCAAAAGCAGCGGTACGGCAAAGCTGTTTAAAGACTAGTTCCAAGTCAATGCCTGTTATGTAGGAGAGGGCATGGCGGGTGGGGATGGGCTGTGTAAGCTCAGGGGGTGACTATAGGAAGGTAGTCTCTGCAGATACTTCTCATGCTCTGGGTGGATAAGGGGCTATCTCTAAGGGCCTGCACTAACAGTCTCTCCTTACAATATGATGGCTAATGCCACTGCATCCTGGAACTCATCACCTGCCTAGTGCTCATTGGGAGCAGAGGGTTTCGGGGTCGCTTCCAAAATTGATTTCCTTGGGTGCAGTGTTTTCTGGGAGCTGAGGGGCCTGCCTGGCAGGATTCCTGTGGCCTGGTCGGCTCTGGCTATGAATGCTGGCCAAGAACTGACAGTGTGGTGGGCATGGCATGGCAGTTCAGGGTTGGGAATGGGGGCACGTAGAATTTGGGGATGAAGGGCTTATGACACTGGATTGTCTTTCTTTGCTACCTGTAGAACTTGGGGAGTAATAAGTGTATTTAACACTAATGTATCTCCCTGGAGTCCTGTTGCCTCTTCTGTCCCCAGACAACCACTGCCACTCTGATAGTAATGCTAATGGCAGGAGCTGGCCTGCTGTGGAGGCTGGACTCTGCTGGGGCAATGGAAGGAATGGGGTTGGGGGAGGTCATGTGTGTTTTCCAATTGGGATGAAGCAGGCAGGTCAGTTGGGTGCTCTGGTTACCATATTGCCAGCCTCTGGAATTGAGGAAACTCCTCCCCCTGACCCGTGCAGTACTACTGAGAGCCCTGGCAACACCAGAACCTGGCTCCAAGCACATGCAGCACAACATTACATGGGGTTGCAGTACTGTGTGGTGGGCTGCTCCCACTGCAGTCAGCCCTCTTTGCTCTTAGCCTCCTGGCTTAGTATCGACAGTCTGGGCTGACTTTGGATGGGTTACATAAGAACAGCTATACTCTGTCAGACCAATGGTCCATCTAGCCTAGTATCCTGTCTTCCAGCAGTGGCCTGTTCCAGAGGGAAAGAACAGAACAGGGCAATATTTGACTGATCCATTCCCTGTCATCCATTCCAAGCTTCTGGCAGTCAGAGCCTAAGGACACCCAGAGCATCGCATTACATCCCTGATCATCTTGGCTAATAACCATTGATGGATCATATCCTCCAGGAACTTCTCTAGTTCTTTTTTGAACCCAGTTATGCTTCACCACATCCCATGGCAATGAGTTCTACAGGTTGACCGTATATTGTTTGAAGATGTACTTCCTTATGATTGTCTAAACCTGCTGCCTATTAACATCATGGGGTGACCCCTGGTTCTTGTGTAATGTGAAGGGGTAAATAACACTTCCTTATTCACTTCTTCACACCATTCATGATTTTATAGACCTCTATAATATCCCCCCTTAGTTGTCTCTTTTCCAAGCTGAACAGTCCCAGTCTTTTTAATGTTTCCTTGTATGGAAGCTGTTCCATGCCCTTAATCATTTTTGTTGCCTTCTCTGTATCTTTTCCAATACAATACATCTTTTTTTGGGATGGGCAACCAGAACTGCATGCAGTATTCAAAGTATGGGCGTACCAGAGATTAATATAGTGTCATTATGATATTTACAGTCTTATTATCTATCCCTTTGCTCATGGTTCCTAATATTCGGTTAGCTTTTTTGACTGCTGCTGAATATTGAGTGGATGTTTTCAGAGAACTATCCACAATGACTCCAAGATCTTTCTTGGGTGGTAACAGCTAATTCAGATCCCAATATATTGTGTATATATAGTTGGGATTATGTTTTCCAATGTGCATTTGCTTTTATCAACATTGAGTTTCATCTGCTGTTTTGTTACCCAGTCTCCCAGTTCTGTGAGATCTCTTTGTAACTCTTCGCATTATGCTTTGGGCTTAAATATCCTGAGTAATTTTTGTACTGATCTGTAAATTTTACCACCTAACTGTTTACCCCTTTTTCCACTTCACTTATGAATATATTGAACAGCACTGGTCCTAATAGAGATCCCTGGAGGACTCTATTTACCTCTTTCCAGTCTGAAAGCTGACCATGGATTCCTATCATGTAACCAGTTACAGCTCCATGAGAGGACCTCCCCTCTCATCCCATGATTGCTTACTTTGCTTAAGAGTCTTTGGTGAGGGACCTTGTCAAAGAGGAGTTGGGATAGTTGCCTCTTCAGAAAGGGATTTCCTTCAAACTGATCCAGACCAATGACTTGAAGAGCCCCAGAGGCACAATTCACAACCTGAGCCTTATTGTACTAGGACTCCAGTCCCTTGGTATCGTTCCCTTTTAAATCGCCAACCTGGGGAAGCCGGTCCGGTCCGGCATGGCGTGCCGGCCTGTACCAGCTTACTTTCACCTCTGCTGAGTATAGACAAAACAGGACACCAGAGTGGAACTCCATTAAGGGACTCTAGGGAAGGCCTACCCAGCACAAGTGTGTCTCTGTAGAATTCCAGAGATGTGCTTATCCTGCATCTGAGATGGGATTTCAGTGCTGGCCGAGAAAGCTAGAGCCGAGATACTCCAGGATGCCTGCCGCTGTCAAGCCAACATTACTGTCTCGTCAGTAGCTA